TTTATATTCAATTAAAGATTTCTTGCTGTTGTGCAATACACTGTGCTGTTGCGCAATACTTAATAAATCTGTTGCCAGACTATAAACAAATAAAGTTCAATTTCTTCTCAATGTCATATTTGAAATTTATGAAAATCAATAGGGAGATTACATCAATAGCTATAAATAATTCACCAAAGTTTCATGTGAACTGCTTAAAGCATTTTTGAGTTGTTGTCCAAAAACTGGAAAATCCCCCCTTTTTTAATGAATAAAACCCCATAACTCAGAAATGTAAAATCTAAAATTTATAAAATTCTAAAGGGAGCTTACGGATTGATAATTTAGTCTTAGATGCAAGATTTTTTTATCAGTTGTTAGTGGCTTTGAACTAGCTGTCAGTAACTGCAAGTACTCTCAGATCTGTATTTAGTGTCTTTTTGTTGTTTGGATGTACAACTACCCGACCATGTCCACTTGTATTTGTATTTATCCATCTGATGAGTTTAGCCTCTTTCAACTGATTTTTATAGTTCTTTCTTATATTGTACTGTTACACCACTGTCCCAGGTTAGGGGGAGGGTTGGGATCCCGCTAACATGTTTAAGCCCGCCACATTCTGTATGTACATGTATGTGCCTGTCCCAAGTCAGGAGCCTGTAAAAGTGTAATTCAGTGGTTGTCGTTTGTTTATGTGTTGCATATTTGTTATATTTGTTCATTTTTTTTACATAAAATATGCCGTTAGTTTTCTTGTTTGAATTGTTTTACATTGTCATTTCGGGGCCTTTTATAGCTGACTGTGCGGTATGGGCTTTGCTCATTGTTGAAGGCCGTACTGTGACCTATAGCTGTTAATTTTTGTGTCATTTGGTCTCTTGTGCATGTGTGGAGAGTTGTCTCATTGGCAATCATTCCACATCTTCTTTTTTATATTTACATCAACAGATATAAAAAATTCACCAAAGTCAAGGTGAGGCAACAAAACTTAGTTGTAAGATCTCTGAAATTTTTTACAGGGTACAAGTTTTTCTCATTGTTGAAGATTGTACGGTGACAGTAACACCTGTAACTGCTTAAACCCATTTCTTATGCACTTTAGTTTGATAAACTCACTGAAAATCATACCACATCTCCTTATTTTTATATGCATTACAATTTACATGTGTATGTAATTGTAAATATATATATATCAGAACAAAATTCATTGCGTCACTTTTATTTATGCATCCTTTGGCACAATACAAGTCCTAAAATTACACAACATAAAACAACTAAATGTTATTTCAGATGAAAGTTTTGTTTCAGTTCCATTCATAGGATTTATTAGAATTTTGTATGTTTTGCCAAGTCCAATAATTCGCTCTATGTGACATAGAGACATAGTTGACTAAACCACCAGGTGTCGAACATTCAAGAATTTTCAGTGTTTCTGTTTTTATTTGATGAAAAGGTTGCCTGAGCTCTAGGAGCTTTAGGTTTTATCACGGGATATTCTGTGCTGTCAATAATAATCCAAGTCGTAGGAAACTTTTAATTTGAAGTTGGATGGTGAAAAATACCTGACTAAACCACTAGATGGCCAAGTGTTAGCCTCACACCACTGTTTAGACATAAAAACAATCCATGTATACACAATGTTCTTAACACTAGATTCAATCTAGAATCTAGGCAGTTCAAAGTTGGTTGTATGATGCCTCAATTTCATCAAAGTCATAAAAAACTGATTTTCAACTGACACCCTATCAATTTGAAAATATATGTATCTCAAACAATGTGCTGCTGGACCAAGTGTGGTCAAAACAAATAAAAATTTAGTATACAACTCTAAACCGGTATAAAAATGCATGGCTGTGTCACGTGTCTTCATTTCAAAATTCTCTGCTGAAAACATAGGCATTGATGGTGTTTGCGTAATTCCATCTGTGAAGCTCAACATTAGCTCGGCAGTTGGTGGTGGACAGTCATAAATCCTTTCTGCAGTATGAATGACTTCTTCAGGAAAACCAACTTTACAATCAAAACTTTCCTCTAGATTTCTACTACAATATTCATCAAGTTTAGTTCTTTTGTTTTCACAGGAAACTGCCCTGATTTTTCTTTTTGCGGACGATTCAGTCTCTTGCTTGGTCCAGGAAAATAGGCTGGGAATGGCAGTAGACTTAAGTCTCTGTATGGTGGGTTTGCGCCCTGAAAAAGGTTATAAAACATTAGTTTTTTGATAATTAAATGAACTTCCATTAGCAATGTATACTTTTTACTACCTGGCGAAATATTAACTAGATTTATTCATTACTATGTTTGCCTGATTCAATGTATGTTATGTAAATCCAAAGGACAAACAATGAGAGACTTATGCAACAAACGTACATTGTTTGTACCTAAATAACTATAATATAGATGAGAGCATGTCATTGTTTTGTTCCTGTTAACATTGTCATTGATATTTTTCAAGAAAGTCTATGAGGCATAGCTTATGCATTCCTGTCATTACTACATTAGTATAATTACTGCTAAAATAATTCTCAGTATGATATACCTCTTGTAAGAAATCATTATAATTGTAGCAATCACCAAAAAATCTCAAACAGATCACATTGAATCGTAGTCCAAAAAATTATGACGTCTTGAATTACCCACCCCCTTTTATTCTAAAACGATAATTGCGGTTGTAAACAGACTTTGGTTTATTCGCATGGCGATTACATATATAACTATATATTTCACAAAGAAAATAGAGTTTTACCATGAATAGTTTCCTGCACGTAGTCTTTTTCAGTAAAACGTGCCTTGCAAACAACAGCTGATTGAGATGGACTCCACGATATCATCGTGTTCTCGTCCAATCTGCGTATGGGCCATGGCGTTGATCCAACTTTTCCTTCTTTTTAAGTCATTTGGAAATGCATGTCCTCCTCTTAAATGACATCAAGGTACACAACAACAAGTACTTGGCATCGTTAATTAAAAATATAACCGAAATAGTTGCACAGTGCAGAAACCGGAAGTAGAGGAACAGGATCCGCTACCACGGCGCCACCTATTCAGGAACGATAATTTGCTACTTTATATAACTGCGAAATTACAATAACGTTAGACGGGTTCACGTGCATAAACAGAAATTCGCTTTAAATTGTATAATATAATTCATGTTCAGTCGACCTTTAATTATTATATCAACGACTGAAATGATTTATAAACATCTAGATTGCAGATAACACTCGAAATTTACCCGAGCTCTTTCCACACGGAATTCAAATAATTCTAGTTTGTCAATCGGTTGACTGCTTATAATGCAAAATACTAATATATCAAAAGTTTTTAAAACTAACAAAACACAATGATCGTTTCTCTATTTCCCAATGTAAATGAAATGAAACAAAAAACATTTTATATCGCAATAAGAAGAGGAGAGAATTCAACATTTCCGGATCTACTTGGAGCCTAATGACCCCCCACGTTGATAAGTTGGATATCGCGGAAGGAAGGATTAACCCGGCAACTAGAAAGGCATTAAAGCACTGCCTTTAAAAAATCCAAATTTCAATGAATAAATGATTGACCTAGCTCATGAATATGTCAGGTAGCTTAGGCATTGTTTTGTTTAACACAAATTTTTTCGACAGACATATTACTACCTAGAGCTTATTATAAATGAAAGTGGGAGATATTCGCAGATTTGACCTCAATGTCAGACTTGGCTTCAGATTTAACACCCATGTCAAACATGGCTTCAGATTTGACCTCCAGGTCAGACTCAGCTTCAAATTTGATCTCCACATCTGAGACTCTGCTTCAGATTTGACCTCCATGTCAGACTTTGCTTCAGTTTTGACCTCTATGTCAGACTTTGCTTCAGTTTTGATCTCCATGTCAGACTTGCCTTCAGATTTAACAACAATGTCAGACTTTTCTTCAGTTTTGACCTCCATGTCAGACTTTGCTTCAGTTTTGACCTCCATGTCAGACTTTGCTTCAGTTTTGACCTCCATGTCAGACTTGCCTTCAGATTTAACAACAATGTCAAACTCAGCTTCAGTTTTGACCTCCATGTCAGACTTTGCTTCAGTTTTGACCTCCATGTCAGACTTAACTTCAGATTTAACAACAATGTCAAACTCAGCCTCAGTTTTGACCTTCATGTCAGACTTTGTTCCAGTCTTAACCTCCATGTCAGATTTGCCTTCAGATTTAACACGTGCACAGTCGTCAGACACGGCTTCAGATTTGACCTCCATATCAGACACGGCTTCAAATTTGACCTTTATGTCAGACACGGCTTCAAATTTGACCTCCATGTTAGACTTGGCTTCAGATTTAACCTCCATGTCAGGCTTTGCTTCAAATTTAACACATTTGACCTCCATGTCAGACTTGACTTCATTCTGACCTCCATATCAGATTTGGCTTCAGATGTAACACCCATATCAGACGGCTTCAGATTTGTCCTCCATGTCAGACTGGGCTTCAGATTGACCTCCATATCAAACTCAGCTTCAGATTTGACCTCCATATCAGACTTGGCTTCAGATTTGACCTCCATGTCAGACTGGGCTTCAGTTTGACCTCCATATCAAACTCAGCTTCAGATTTGACCTCCATATCAGACTGGGCTTCAGTTTGACCTCCATATCAAACTCAGCTTCAGATTTGACCTCTATATCAGACTTGCCTTCAGATTTGACCTACATATCAGACCTGGCTTCAGATTTGACCTCCATATCAAACTCAGCTTCAGATTTAACACATATATCAGACTTTATTTTAGATCTGACCTCTATGTCAGATTGGGCTTCAGATTTAACAACCATATCAGACTTGGCTTCAGATTTGACCTGGCTTAGCTTTCGAGGAAACATTAACCTGAAGAGAGGTAGAACTGACCTGCATGTCTGGTTTTATGAATGAATAGAAATTTTTTGAATAAAATTATTGTCTTTTTATAATAAGCATACTTTTCTGTCTAGACAACATGACCACATGTAACAAATGTTTGACATGTCATAATTAACATAAAATACCTCATTATAACAGCTTCCATTAAGAAGTCTAACTCGGCTTGTTCTGTAGTTAGTGCTGGTAAAGTCTGAAAAGAAGAAAGTTTAAGGATTAATATGATTTAGAACAGTTCAGCTTCAGACTATTTTGATTTGAGGCCACTGTTGAGTCATATAACGACAACAATACTTTATGTTAATAGGATTATTCAGTTAGTTATGCAACTAATATTTCATGAGGCCCATCATCTTAAAACAGCATAAAACTTTGTTGAAAAACATAAAATGCAGACATGTAAAGTCACAATACCCTAATTGCACCCACTTTGAAAAATGGCAACTGCATCCAATAGGTCTTCTTAGAGACTTAAAACAATTCGTCTTTTCATCATTTGTCATTATGCAAGTCTTTCAACTTAAAGATACACAAAACAGTCACAGTATATATCAACAGATGAAGACTTCAGTGAAAAAGTAAAATTCATGGAAACTTTCGCATGTAATGTCCACAAAAAGTAAAATTTTGAAAATGAGAAAATAGATACGTTATAGAAATCCATTTCTTACAAAATTGTTCAATATTTTTGAGGTAGGAATTAGCAGCTGACACACCAAGTACCCCACCCTTGTCATATAATTTGAATAATAAAAATACATACTCTATATCATACATTTTTTGACAAAAAATACACCTATAGATATCATGATTACACTTTTTCAAGGAGAGTTTTAAATGATATCAATCTTCCGTTAAAAAAATCACTTTGTTTCTTGAAATCCAGAAAACGTAAAAACAAAATCAAATGATGAATTGTAAAGAACAATTTCTGGTGTTTATAACAAATCTTCTCTCGACAATATTGAAGATTATTTTCTCTGACCTCCATTAACTGTCAATACAACAATATCTTGTTTTATTTTCTAAACTTTCAAAACAAGTCATCTATAGCCAAAACAAGCATCTATAGCCAAAACAACTATTTTGTAGTATATTAAGTATTGTCTGATATTCTATAATGATACGTAGAGTGTAGTATATTAAGTATTGTCTGATATTCTATATATTTGTTAGCTTATTTTTCATGATAACCTTTTTTTTCAAAAGAAATGATATGAGGTTAACAACATTCTGATTAATTGAAAACATCCAATTTATCAAAGTAACTGTGATTTTATTGCTGTAGTTCATCTTGACAGTTGCTACATTTTAATTGATATAGAGAGTTTTTTAGTACAATTTCATTACTTCAACAATAAAATGCCATGTCTAAAAAATACATGAATAGATTATGGTTTGACTAAGGCTTCTGGTAGTTGTGCTTTAGTGCATTTTCAATATAATGTTTACTACAAGCTTTTTACTTAAGAAGGATGTATTCTTCTGACGTTTCAGTCTCGTTGAAATCTCGTTCTGGAATTATTTCCAAAACATGTGATACAAGTGAAAAATATCAATGAATTTAAAAAATGTTATAATCAAACTCAACTCTGTGAAAAAAATTGTGTATTTACAATAAGTAGTTTTTGAGTAATAAATTTTTCAAATTTTATTACCAATCAAGACAGTCTTTTTAAACAAAATTTTGAGAAAATGGGTGAGGGGTACAAGAAATGATTTTACCAGAAACATATACATCCCATATTACTTTTTTCTTTTCAAATTTCTTAGATATGTAATTTTTCAATCATTTATAACAAAGAAGTTGAAATATTATGCATTTTGTTCTTAAAATGGAGAAAAATCTCAAATTTACAAAATTGACAGCATGGTAAATTTGACATGAAAAAGCCTCAAAATATGATAAAACTTTCTTATATTAACACCTACCTAAAGTTTTTTGAAGTTTAATTTATTCAGATTGGTCCACTTCATCTTTATTGAAAGTATGAAAAAAAGTTTAATTGTGGGACTGTGATTTTTTTAACGATAATAGCCCAAAAATGGGTAAAAATTGATGAAAAATGGGAAAATCATCAAAATTGGGTACTTTCAAAGGGCCGTAGCAAAAAAAGAAGTGCACCTGCCATATGAATTTTTCTTCACCAATTATTTTTTTACAGTCATATAAACCCAAAAATCAGGTTAAGAAAAAAGTTTAATTCTAGAAATTTTTGGCTCCTCAGAGGTGTACATCCATAACAGAATATAAAATTGACTGTTTCTAAGATATGCCTTTTTCTCTTTTAAATGCCTTTTAAATGAAAATATTAAACATATTATAGGAACTAGCTTATTTGAATTACATTTTACCAACACATAGGTAAGATAGAAAATCCTTATTGTTTGTATGGTTTGGGTACGTCAGGACATTACATATCTATTTTCATATTTTACTGTGTTTCAATACGTAAGCTAGATTTCCCCTAACCTTTACTGAATATCATCCACCAGTATACCACAATTTTCACAGATCCAATAAGTTTTCCATAGAATTTCCTTATTTTAAAAAATATTTACAGACCAGAGGCGGATTTATGGGCTTGCCCCCTAATGGAGCTACATATATGGTTAAAACAAGCACCACTCATAAAGCTTCTATTTGGATTGTTATTACATTCTTAAAACAGTCGATGGCATGCTTTTAGTTACTTTAAAATGAATATAACAAACATTCAAGTTTGAATTCATCATTGATTTTTGAAAGACAAACAGACTCGGATCCTCTTTTAAAAAGGGCAGTTGATAAATATGTATATAAATCTGAGTATGGTCATAGAAACATTCTAGATTCTCAACCAAACAGCCCAGGTTTAAGCAGATTTTTTTAAAGCCAAACCAAAATTATTTTGATTTCATACCCTTTTTTCTTTTTGCTAGGTTTTACAAAAATTAAAAATAACACCCCTCTTTAGTTGTTAGACGAGAATCTCAGAATTTTTATACTGGCCTTAACACAATTATCTAACAAATTTTGATACCAAGTATACAAATGAAGTTTCGTGTGACTGTCGTAACCTTTACAGTGAACTTCAATTTAATGCTTGGTTCAACTGTACTAAATTGTTACTATGAAGAATCTTTAAGTTACTTCGTAGCTAGGCATTTTAAGATGATCTTATTCCAACATTTATGTACACTTATCTGAATAGTTGAAGAAAAAAAAAAAAAAAAAACTTGAGAGGAAAGAACGAACAGCTGGCAAACAAAAATGTCCATGCTTTCAAGTTTTCTTAATGGGAATATCACACCACAATTTCCCTATAAATCTCTTCAAATCATTGCACTTATATATATAATTGATATAAACAATTTCTACATTTTTCGTTAGATGAAATCTGCCTGAAGTATATTACTCCTACTATACATAATGGTAAAAATAAGATTATCTTTCTCCTAGTTAACCAATGAAACATCTTAAATCTTTTACCTCCTCATCGCACTGCATGATGGACATAATGATTTTGAGCTATAAGTGACCAGAACTCAACTTAAAAGATAATACCACAAGAAGCTAAGCACTATCATCTTGCCTATGATACATTGTAAACTTTCTACTATTTGAGAAGGCTTCAGAAAACTGATTAGCTCTGAACCTTATTATGTGTCAATTTGGAATATCAGCACATTTGTTCTTGACCTCGTTACACTGGTTTTAAAATCCTTCATATGAACATGTCCAGTTGGGCTTTAACCTTCAAAATCATCTTAAATGTGGTTAGTTTTACTGAAGTTTTCTGTGTAATAGATGTGGTCTTTTATTGGTGTTTTATCTAATTATTTTCATTGTTGTCTATTCCTACTTTGATTTCTGATATTGCCCCCTCAGTATATAGTGATATGTTTCATGCTTCTCACTCCTTTCTCTTAGTATCAAGGAAATCTTATCATGGATGGTAGCACATATAGTACTGATCAATGTATTCACAAATTAATTAATCCTGATGTCCATTTCTTTTGTTATTGTCTTATCAGGATATTAATAGTAAAAATTTCTGTTATTGTTTTGTCATTCTAAACAGTGTGACAATAATAAGTGTCAATAAATTGCTTTGCTGAGTGCAGCTTGATACAACCGCAGAGGTCCAACCCTGAAAAGTTGGGGAAAATATGGATACAATATTCGCGCTTGATACAGGTCTGAATTTGGATTGTAATTAAATAATTGACACATAATAGGTTTCTGACACAGAATAACTGTAGTCAAAGAACTTAGCTTTTGTGCAATACACTATGCTGATGCATATTGACCCAACCCCCCACCTCCCCCAAAAAAAACTTTTATCCCCCCCCCCCTTTTGCCCTCTTTTTTGCAAAAAAAAAAAAAAAAATATTTGAAGAATTTTCTTTTTAATTTTGAAATCTGAAATGCCACCCCCCCCCCCCCCCCCCCCCCCCCCATTTTCCCTTTTTCCAAAAAATTTTCATTCCCTCAAGATATGGTCATAATCCCAATTCAAATTTCTAATGGAGTTTGCAACTATAATTACCCATTTAAATACATCATAAAAGTCTTAAAATAGAAAATGACATATGGCTAAAATTAATATTAATGAATAGTAACTTCTAATTAAATTGACAGCTAATCACCTCAAGACAATACAAAATTTCTTTATACATAATTTACAAGCAGTGTAAGGGAGGTAATCCAAAATTGCACAACATTGTTCTTTAAATGTGATTGGATTACCTCCCTTACACTGCTTTTAAATTGTCTTAATTGTCCACTAACCAGGAAACCCTTGTTTTTCCCCCTTTTTTTGCCCCTAATTCCTAAATGGTTTGAGCCATAACCCCAAAAGTTAATCCTAACCATCCCTTTGTGTTATGAAAACTTGTGGTATAATTTCAGAGAGATTAATACACTTAAACACAAGTTATTGTCTGGAAACTAGAAAAATGCTTATTTTGACCCCTTTTGGGCCCTTAATTCCTAAACTGTTGGGACCATAACCCACTGAATCAATCCAAACCATCCTTTTGTGGTTTCAAACCTTGTGTATAAATTTCATAAAGATCCATTCAGTTAAACTAAAGTTATTGTCCGGAAACCAAGTGTCTTCGGACAACGACGACGACAACGTGATACCAATATACGACTGCAAAATTGTTTTTGGGGTCGTATAAAAATTCATTTAGTATGCGATATCA